GTGATGGTAGATGAGGAGGTGTTCATGGCCCATCCACCGGGCTATGAGGATGGCACCGGGTAGGTGTGCAAGCTGAAAGATGCCATCTATGGCCTCAAACAAGCACCCCGCTGCTGGCAAGAAGTTGGCGTCAATGTTAGAGGAGATAGGCTTCAGGGCGAGCGCGTATGACGAGAGCCTCTTTCTCATGGGGGAGAAAGAGTCACTCGTCATGTTCTTGGTGTACATCGACGACATCCTCCTTTTCGGGAGCAAAAAACAGGAGGTGGTAAAGGTGCAACAGAAGCTGATGCAAAACTTCAAGTGCAATACCGTGGGGAGGCAAACTACTACGTGGGCATGCACGTCGAGAGGGATGTCAGCAATGGATGGGTGAATATGCATCAGGAGAAGTACATCAAGGACATGGGGAACAAGTATGAGACTGAGTTCGGAAGGAAGGTGGCAACACCCCTCCCATCCGAATTCAAACTCATCAAGGCTGGTAAGAATGAAGGGATGGACCAGAGGGAGCAAGCTCGTTTCCATGTGATGGAGAGTTTGCTCTATGCAGCACTGCATACTCGGCCTGACGTCTCATTTGCTGTGGGGCAGCTGGCTAGGGTGGTGCAGAATCTCACGGAGGAGCAGGTGGCTGCAGCTGATCGTATCATACAGTACCTGAACTCCTACCCCACTGTTGGAGTTTAATTCTCTACTAAGGCTCAAAGGAAGCAAAAAGGGGCAGAGGTACTCAAGGACAAGGGGAAGAATCATGGAGAAAAGGGAGCTGTTCCTCATGAGCTTTGCCGATGGATCATGGGCTTCAGAACCAGAGGATATGTCTTTAGTGGGTGCATATTTGTGTGTGATTAGAGGAGGACCTGTGAGCTGGAGGTCAAAGTAACAGGTGGAAACGGCGGGTTCATCTGCTGAAGCTGAGAACATGTCAATATACCACGTAGCCAAGGAGCTGGTTTGGCTGAGGAAGCTGCTCGAGGAGTTTGGGCATGAGCAGAAAGCACCTACTCCGTTATTTTGTGACAACTTAAGTGCAATGTCTATGTCCAATCATGCTGTGCTGCATGGGTTGAATAAGCACATGCGCATAAAATGGCATTGGCTGCACAAGAAAGTGCAAAGGGGTACTCTCTAGCCTCTCTATGTGAAGACGCAGCAGCAGCCGGCCGATTTTCGCATCAATCGACTGGCTCAAGAACCTCATTGACGCTGTGCTAAATTGTGTGGCATGAGTCTTAATTAGGCTCACACATGAAGGGGCAAGCAGGCGACTGCTTGAGGGGGAGTTTGTTGGTTGCAAGAATTAATTTTCACGTCAACCAACCACCTGCATATCATTTCGCATTTCATGAGTGATTCGTACACATTCGTTTTTGCATTTCATTTCATTCCCATTCATTGCGAGTTCATTTTCATTCACGAAGGCTCATGACAAAACGTCATGAAATTCCGTGAGTGCTCATTTAGTGTTCATGGCGAGCGACCATTATGAAGACTCGTCAATTATTCACTAGTTCCTCACAAAGCGAGACTCATGAAGAGTCGCGAATATTCATGAGGGGCAGGGCTGTCGCTTGCAGGGCGTTTGCCCTGCTGGACCTTGAATTCAAGGGCTGGGTTGCCCTTGAAATCTGAAATTGATGGGTTGGAAATATTCTGGCCCTGACTCTTTACAGGGCTGGTTTTGGGCTCAGGCCTGGTGTGTAAAGGGTAGATTTTAGGCGAGCCCTGGAACAAAATATTTCGAGCCCCCCCTTGCCCCCCCCTCCCCCCCCCAACACTCCTCCACTCTCCTCTCCCCTTCGTTTCTAACCTGATTGCATCCAACCTGGCAAATTTCGAGTTGCGTGGTTGGTCAACTCAACCAAGAACGTGTGCTTGAGCCAGTCACAGCTCGCTCTCTGTGGAGTGGGTAGACGGTTAAGGTTGGGCAGAAGTGCAGAAGAACTATCTTGCGTACACCCTGTTTCGCGCCACACTGACATTCGCTGTATTGACATGCCGCTTATTCTGACATCAACGCGTCCAAAACGGTCCCAGAACATAGCATATAAGCACAATTCGCCGCAATCAACCGTACGCGATAGCATTGTTTCTTTCATAAACCGTTGTGTATTGTTCTCCTGGACTGCATTTGCCCGCCACCTACCAGGGTTCGGTTGCAAGCACCAGCCCGCAAAATCCAAGCACACGTTTGCACTGTAGCCGGGGCTCCCGATTGTCAGAACGTTGAGAAACAGAGATGAAAAGCGCGCGGAAATCAGGACCCGCGCGTGGGGTCCTAATCGTACGCGTGAGCCCTCAGGCCCGCGCGTGTGCCCTCGCACTGTTGCAAGCGTGCACAGCGTGCACGATCGCAACATGACAGGGCGAATGACCGCCCTGCCCTCGCGCAGGATAGCGCACGTTTTTGCGCTGTATGGCACGACCGAAAAAGTCGGTCGTGCATGATGGCAGTCAAGAGGTGCTCGGGATTTTGGTTGACCAACCGCTGTCAGAACATTATAGCTTATGCTGTTGTGTAGGCTATAGTGGGGTATCCCATAGGGGGTACAACCAATTAGGGTTTCATATTTGTACTCACTTCATTTTCATAGTTCGCTCATTCTCGTTCTCATTTTCACATGGAATCAGAGCAGGTCCCCTCCTAGGGACTGTTCCTTGGGCCCACCGAAGCGCGCCTCGAGTCGCGCCTGCCTTTTTTTTTAGCGGCCCGTCGAGTCGCACCTAGCGGCCCGTCGCGCCGCCCTTACGGTCGCGTCGAGCCGCCCTAGCGGCTGCGGCGCGCCGCCCTTTTTCCTGGCCCGTCGCCGCCCTTCCCGCGGCTTCGCCCCGCCACTACCTGCGGCTTCGAGCCGCCCCGGCCCGTCGCCGCCCTTACCTGCGGCTTCGCGCCGCCTACGGCCCGTCGCCGCCCTTTTCTGCGGCCCCGCCGCCTCTCTCGTTGCGGCCCCGCCGCCCGTCTTCGCGGCCCCGCCGCCATCTCTCGCTGCGGCCCCGCCGCCACTCACTGCGGCCCCGCCACCCGTCTCAGCGGCCCCGCCGCCCGTCTTCGCGGCCCCGCCGCCTCTCTCACTGCGGCCCCGCCGCCCTACTCAGCGGCCCCGCCGCCCGACTTCGCGGCCCCGCCGCTTCTCTCTGCAGCGGCCCCGCCGCCCATCTTCGCGGCCCCGCCGCCTCACTACCCAGCGGCCCCGCCGTCCTTCTGCAGCGGCCCCGCCACTCCTCTACAGCGGCCCCGCTGCCCTACGTCAGCGGCCCAGCCGAGCCGCCCAACAGCAGCGCAGCCGAGCCGCCCAGCAGCAGAGCAGCCGAGCCGCCCCGCCGCCGAGCCGCGCTGCAGTCGAGCCGCCCGGCCGCCCACCAGCCGAGCCGCCGTGCAGCCGACCGCCCAGCCGCCGAGCCGCCCAGCTGCCGAGCCGCCCAGCCGCCGAGCCGCCCAGCCGCCGAGCCGCCCAGCCGCCGAGCCGCCCAGCGGCCGAGCCGCCCTGCAGCCGAGCCGCCCGAGCAGCCCTGTCCGATGAGCACAGACCCTCTGTCACTGCGTGCTCTTCCCCTACTCCTTGCACTGCTGGTCTACTGCTGTCATGGCTACCCCTAGTGTCCTCACTTTTGACGCTGAGGGTCGGGCCATTGACTTTGAGGTCTGGGTAGATGACCTACAGCTGTTCTTACAGTGCGATAGGGCGGACGGCCTCTCTCTCTTTGACCTCACCTCTGGCGCTTCCCCTGCCCCTGCTGCTGATGCTGACGCCACAGTTCGCTCCCAGTGGGCCACGCGCGATGCTGCTGCACGTCTTGCTGTGCGTCGCCACCTCCCTACCTCCGAGCGTGCGCACTTTAGTCAGTACAAGAGTGCTCAGACCTTGGACGCCGCTGTAGTCGCGCGCTACTCCTCCCCTTCCACTGCTGCACTGAGCCGTCTCATGCTGCCGTACCTCTTCCCTGACCTTGCTTCTTTTCCCACCGTTGCTGACCTCATTACGCACCTCCGCACTAGTGACACTCGCTACCGCGCTGCACTTCCTGCTGACTTCTGCACCGCAAACCCCCCCCCCATGTACATCACTCTGTACTTCCTAGTCACTCGCCTCCCTGACTCCCTTCGAGTAGTCAGGGACCACTTTCTCTCAGTCTGTCCCACCACACTCACTGTAGACCTCCTCGAGAAGGCCCTCCTCGCGATAGAAAAGAGCATAGTCGCTGTAGGAGCCTCTCGAGGTGACCCGCGCACCCCCATCTTTGAGGGGTGTTCTCCCTCCCCCCTGCTGCCCTCTGTTGCCTCTGCTGCTTCGGCCGACCTTCTTGGTCTTGAGTCGGTCGGTGCGGCGTCTGCCCCTAGCGGGAGACGCCGCCCTGGCAAGGGCAAGGGGGGCAAGGGAGCTGGAGGAGCGGGCGGTGGAGGTGGAGGTGGAGGCAGTGGGGGGAGTGGGGGTAGCGGTGGAGGTGGAGGTGGGGGTGGGGGGTTCGGTGGCGGCAGTGGAGGCGGAGGCCGCGGCGGCGGTGGCGGTGGTAGCGGAGGTGGCGGAGGAGGCGGCGGTGGAGGAGGCGGTGGAGGCGGCGGCGGCAGTGGAGGCAGCGGAGGCGGTGGAGGCGGTGGGGGTGGCGGTGGAGCTGGTCGCGGGTCTTTGCAGAGGAGTGGCTCCGGTGGTGGCTCGCGCCAGCAGCAGCAGCGTGGTCGTGCGACCCTGTCCCCTCAGCAGCTCCGTGAGTGGTACACTGCACGCCAGCGGGGTGGGGGTTTTGGTCCGTGTACCTACGTCCTGCGCACCGGCGACCGTACGGGTGAGCAGTGTGGGGGTGCGCACCCCACTCCGCGCTGCTTTGGCCGCCTGACGGACGCATGGCGTCACCAGTTCCCGGAGGCCTCCGAGATCCCTCGCTGGGACGAGCTGTCTAGGGCGGGGGTTGCCATCTTTGATCTGGACTTTGATGCTATTCTCTCTGCCATGTATGCTGTGTCTATTAGTGATGAGGGTGACTGTTACCGGTGTTTCCAGCCCGATCCGGGCATTGAGACTGCTGCTCTAGGTACTGGTGAGGCTGCTGCCCTAGGTGCTTACGACGCTGCTGCTCTAGGTGCTGGTGTGTCTGCGTCCTCAGGTACTGGTGAGTCTGCTCTCTCAGGTACCGCGTCGGCTTCGGCCTCCCTCACCTTCACTCTTGACTCTGGGGCGTCTCGCTCCTTCTTTCGGGACCGCACCACACTCACGCCGCTTAGTCGGCCGGTTGCGGTGTCTCTGGCTGACCCCTCTGGGGGTCCGGTCCTGTCTCGTTTCTCCACAGTCCTCCCGTGTCCGGCGGCTCCCTCTGGCACCCTGTCTGGTCTCTACCTCCCCTCGTTCTCGACGAACCTGGTGAGTGGTGCTGACCTACAGGATGCGGGTGTCCACCAGTTCACTCCTGCACGTCAGCGAGTGACCCACTGTACAGAGGCTGGCACAGGCGGACACCTGGCTACGTTCACCCGTCAGCCGGGGTCGAGCCTGTACACTCTGACCACTGCGTCTCCTCCAGTTGCTGAGTCTGGTAGGGTAGTTACGTCGGGTCAGGTGTTTGCTGCGGCGTCCAGGTCTGGTCCTGAGTCTGCCCCCTGTTCGTGTCGTCTCCTGTCTCACGAGACTCTCCTCTGGCACCACCGCCTTGGCCACCCCTCTCTGCTTCGGCTCAGAGGTATGGCCTCCCGTCTTCTTGTGTCCGGTCTCCCCCGGTCCCTCCCTCCCCTTCCTCAGGGCCCTGGCCCTGCCTGTGTGCCCTGTGTCGAGGGGCGCCAGCGTGCTGCCCCTCACTCCTCCCAGTTTCCTTCGACAGAGGCCCCGTTGCAGACACTTCACATGGACGTGTGGGGCCCAGCCCGCGTCCGTGGACAGGGTCATGAGCGCTACTTCCTGCTCGTTGTTGACGACTACTCGCGTTACACCACAGTCTTCCCCTTGCGCAGCAAGGGTGATGTCACTGAGGTGCTGATCGACTGGATCCGCGCAGCTCGTCTCCAGCTCAGGCAGAGCTTCGGCTCGGACTTTCCTGTTCTGCGTCTGCACTCGGACAGAGGCGGAGAGTTCTCCTCTGGCCTTCTGCGTGCCTACTGTCGTGCACGGGGCATCCGTCAGACCTTCACGCTTCCGGACTCACCGCAGCAAAATGGGATTGCTGAGCGCCGCATTGGCATGGTCATGGACGTCGCTCGTACGTCTATGATGCATGCGGCTGCCCCCCATTTTCTGTGGCCGTTTGCGGTGAGGTACGCGGCGCATCAGATCAACCTCCACCCCAGGGTCTCCAGGCCGGAGACCTCCCCAGCCTTGCAGTGGACGGGGAAGGTTGGCGATGCGTCGGCGTTCAGGGTCTGGGGATCTCGGGCGTTTGTCCGCGACCTGTCTGCGGACAAACTATCCCCTCGTGCTGCTCCTTGCGTCTTCCTGGGGTTCCCCCCTGACGCGCCTGGGTGGCAGTTTTACCACCCCACCTCTCGCCGTGTTCTGTCCTCCCAGGACGTCACGTTTGACGAGTCGGTCCCCTACTACCGCCTCTTCCCCTACCGCACTCCGTCCCTCCCCCCACCCCCACTCTTCCTGGTACCAGGTCCCCCCCAGGTAGACCCCCTCCCCCCTCAGGGTCCTGCCCCTTCAGGTGTGTCCCAGGTAGACGCAGTCGAGCCTGTCGAGGTCACTGGTGACTCTGGTGCTGCTGAGGGTGCTGAGGCTGGGGGTGCTGTACCTGGGGGTGCGGAGCCTAGGGGTGCTGGGCCTGGGGGTGCCACGTCTGGGGGTACTGAGCCTAGGGGTGCTGAGCCTAGGGGTGCTGAGCCTGGGGGTGCTGAGCCTAGGGGTGCTGAGCCTGGGGGTGCTGAGCCTAGGGGTGCTACGTCTGGGGGTGCTGAGCCTAGGGGTGCTACGCCTGGGGGTGCTGAGCCTGGAGGTGCTCCGCCTGGAGGTTCTCCGAGTGCTTCGTCTCGCCGGGAGCCACTTTCTCCACAGGAGCTGCGTGAGTGGTTTGCCCGGCGCTGGAGGCGTGCTGCTGGTGCTGGAGGTCCTTCGGCTGCTGAGGGTGCTGCGGTCGCGGGTCCCGGAGGTGCTCGTCCTGGGTGCACTGGAGCTGGTGCTGCTGAGGGTGTTGGCGCTGAGACTACCGCTGGCAGTCCTACTGGGGGTGCTCCTGGTGCTGCTGGAGGTTCTGGAGCTACTGGTGGTGCTGCTGGAGCGGGTGCTCCTGCTGAGGGTTCTGGTGCTGTCCCTGCTGCTTCTAGCGTCGCCGCGCGGCCTCGACCGTACTTCGTTCCACTCCTGCAGCAGGTTCTTGGTCTTCCACCTTCTACTGGTCCTCCTCCTCCCTTAGAGTGTCCACAGCCTGTCTCGTCCCAGCTACAGTTGCAGCCTACCTCCCCTTTGCCTGCTCCTTCTCCCTACACTGGTCCTACTGGAGGTCTGGCTGAGCGTCGTGAGCCTGCGTCTCGCCCTGCGTCGCCTGTCCGTGCTGCTCGCACTAGTGGTCGCGGTTCGCGTCAGCGTCCTCCTCCTGTCCCTGGCACGCACCGGATGTCTCTGCGTCCGTCCACTGCTCCTCTGCGTGCCCCTTTGCTTTCTTCTCCTGAGTCCTCTCTTCCTGCTCTTGCCGACCCGGAGTCGGACTCTCTTCGTGCTGCCAGTCCTACTGTCACGCGTCTCCTTGCTACTGTTGTCACTGACCCTTCTTTCGAGTCTACTGCTGCGTCTGCTCTCGTTACTGAGCTCGTCGACTTTGCTACTCGCTGTCACTTAGACTACGCTGCTAGTCTTGTCGCTGAGTCTGAGTCTGTCTGTCCTCCGTCCGTCGGGGGTGAGTGTGCCCTTGGCACGGACGTCCTTGAGGACAGGCAGGAGGAGTTCCAGTGTCTGGCAGCTGCCTCACCTCATCTCGTGTCCGTACTGCTTACCCCTGAGGGAGACCCGGATGCACTTGACATCCCGACTCCGCGCTCTTACGCGGAGGCGATAGAGGGTCCCTACTCCTCTCAGTGGCAGGCAGCTATGGATGCAGAGATGGCTTCCTGGAAGTCCACAGGCACCTACGTTGACGCTGTCCCCCCTCCTGGGGCGAACATCGTCAGTGGCATGTGGATCTTCAGGGTGAAGCGGCCGCCGGGTTCTCCGCCTGTCTTCAAGGCGCGTTACGTGGCTCGTGGCTTCAGTCAGCGGCAGGGAGTTGACTACTTTCAGACCTTCTCCCCCACCCCGAAGATGACCACTCTTCGGGTACTGCTGCACGTTGCTGCTCACCGTGACTACGAGCTGCACTCTCTTGACTTCAGCACAGCTTTCTTGCAGGGCAGCCTGCACGAGGAGATCTGGCTGCGTCGCCCACCTGGCTTCACTGGGTCTTTCCCTCCTGGTACCCAGTGGAGTCTCCGGCGTCCAGTCTACGGTCTCCGCCAGGCGCCACGTGAGTGGCACGACACACTGAGGACTACGCTTGCGGCTCTTGGGTTTGCTCCTTCTACTGCCGACCCGTCGCTGTTTCTACGCACCGACACCTCTCTGCCGCCGTTCTACATCCTCGTGTACGTCGACGACTTGGTCTTTGCCACAGCTGACACTGCTGGACTCGCCTACGTGAAGTCCGAGCTGCAGAAGAGACACACGTGCACAGACCTGGGTGAACTGCGCAGCTACCTTGGCTTGCAGATCACCCGGGACAGAGCACGCCGCACCATTACCCTGACTCAGTCACACATGGTGCAGCAGGTCCTTCAGCGCTTCGGCTTCACGTACTCCTCGCCTCAGGCCACTCCTCTGTCTACTCGCCACTCGCTCTCAGCTCTGCCTTCGGATGAGTCCGTAGAGTCGAGTGGCCCGTACCCAGAGCTTGTTGGCTGCCTCATGTACCTGATGACCTGCACACGACCTGACCTTGCATACCCTCTTAGCATTCTTGCACGCTATGTTGCTCCTGGGAGACACAGACCAGAGCACATGGCTGCAGCGAAGAGGGTGTTGCGCTACTTGTGCAGTACGTCGGGCATGGGGCTAGTGCTTGGAGGGCGGAGTCCAGTGGTCCTCACTGGGCACGCGGACGCTTCTTGGGCTGACGACCAGGCTACGCAGCGGTCGTCACAGGGTTACACCTTCAGCCTTGGTTCCGGCTCTGTTTCGTGGCGGGCTACTCGCTCGTCTTCTGTTCTTGGCTCGAGTTGTGAGGCTGAGATCTACGCCGGGGCCATGGCTGCACAGGAGCTTCGCTGGCTCACCTACCTGCTGACCGACCTTGGAGAGCCGCCTCGTTCTCCTCCAGTCCTGTACATAGACAACAAGGCCATGCTGGCCTTGTGTCGAGAGCAGCGACTGGAGCACAGAACAAAGCACATTGCTCTCCGCTACTTCCTTGCTCGTGAGCTACAGCAACGTGGACAGTTGCGGCTTGCGTACGTGGCCTCTGAGGCCAACACTGCTGATGTCTTCACCAAGGCACTTCCGCCTTGTGATCATCAGCGCTTCTGCACTCAGCTGGGTCTTGTGCCTGTCTTACCTCACTTGCTCTCCTCTTGACCTTGCTTGTACTCTCACATATATATATACCTGCTCTTGCTTGTCTAGCTTTATATATATGTGTGTACTCTTGCATGTGAACTGGCCGTGTGGCCTTGACCCTGTGCTCGGACTGTGTGGTGACTTTGTGATCCACCCTGAGCTTGCTTTGCTTTGCTTTGCTTGACTGGTCTTGTGACCCCTTGTTCTCCCCCACTTTGCCTATGGGGGTGTGTCAGAACATTATAGCTTATGCTGTTGTGTAGGCTATAGTGGGGTATCCCATAGGGGGTACAACCAATTAGGGTTTCATATTTGTACTCACTTCATTTTCATAGTTCGCTCATTCTCGTTCTCATTTTCACAACCGTATCCCGCGCTTACTTGGCGAGCATGGAATTTTTGCCAGAAAGTCGCGCGCGTAACGCTGCAATTTCGATACAGGGACAAATACGGTGAAAGTCATTTTTCAACTGTAAAGCTTCATGAAAACGGTATTCCCACACGAGTCTTCGTCAATAGACATGCAAATTCATGATTGTTCATGTGCGTAGTCAGCAGGGGAGTTTGAAATATATGCAGGTTGAAGACAATTTTTCAACAGAGGCGAACCAAGCCAAATTTTTCTGAAGTTAGACAACTGTTTTCATTGTAGACGTGGCAAAGCTCTAAAAATACGGTTTGATAACTGTTTTGTGCCTGTCTTTGCTAGTGTTTTATCTTCCTGTAAAAGCGTCCTTGTACCTGCTGGATTTTACCAGTGCATTCTTGCTTTCGTTTAGGAATTTTACTTCTACACATTGACGAGAGCAGAATCAATACGAAGTGTTGCCGAAATGCTGCTTGACCAGATTTATCTCACTACAAGCTGAGCCAAGCTTGCTTGCTCCCTTGCACTTATGAGCCTTTGGCTAGGAGGTGACGCCCTGTCACACTCGAATGGTCTTAGGTGGAGTAAGTGTCGTTCGGTTTAGACTTTGTGGTTTCAATTATAATCGCTTCCGCGTAGCACTTAGCTGTCAACATCAGCTACCGCCAAAACCACCTGATATTGTACAAGATGAACCAGAGTACGAGGTGAAACGTATCATCGCGCACCAATGCCGACGTGGCAACACACTCCAGCTCGTGATCTGTTGTAAGGGGTATGATCCTTCAAAGGACAGTTGGGTCGCAGAAGCTGATATAGGCAACGCACGCCGTGCTCTAAAGGAATGTCATGCGAAGCAAGGTGTTCCGCATTCCACCCCGTTTTGAGGGAGGGGGGGGGGGGGGGGGGGGGGGGGGGGGGGGGGGGGTGTGAAAGCACGCCATCCGTTCCATCCTGAAATATCTTATTTCTATTTTCTTTTTTATTTTCTGCATTTGTTTCCTATTTTCGTTGCTTCACTATTTCTTATTTTAGTCTATGCACCGAAAAGGATTGCATGCAGCAGACTTTACTGATTTCTAGGATTATCTCATGTGACCTGGAGTGTGCGCGATTATTGACCGAATGCCTCTACCGAATTCGGGAAGGTCCTATTAATTTCGGTTCTAGAGCCTTGGTACCTTCTAGTAACACCAGGGTTACTTGCCTTGTATCGTGCCTATATATAGCTACGACCTTGTACCAGGTGCAAACGGTCGGGATGGAAAGAATAGCGCAACCTCGGTTGAGAGAGCGATAACGAACGTGAATAGAGCGGGAACACCGGAGGCAACGGGAGGAGACATGCATTCGGAGAAAGGGCGAACCGAGCGAGAAAAATACCAATGCAGCGCATCGTGGCAGGGTTTAGAGGAAGAGGCGGCGTCGCAACGGCACAAGTACACACTGCTGCTCAAAGTTGAAGTGGCGGAGCGATTCTGGGGAACCTCCATGAAAATCGATGTCAAGCAGTTGGAGAAGTTGCGTGTGGAAACAAGATCGGCTCGATCTGTAGGAATTCTTCTGCGGGCTGGCGAATGCCCTGACAGGAGAAGCAGAATCATCCATCGCATAAGTCACGGGAACTACACAACAAGACAATGCGACCACCTCTCGAAGAGCATGATCATACATCATGCTTCCTGTTTCCCGCGCAGACCCCTGAGAGGGTGGAGGAATTTCAAAATTTCAGGAGACGTCAGGGAGAACTGTAGCTCTCATGCTGTGGGAGTTTGCTGGAACATGAGATGACACAATCAAAATCGGCTTATCTGCAAATTCCTGAGGGGGCTGAACTACGACATACAGAAAGATGTACAGCTCCGCATCTTTGACTTGGGAGTTAACGCCACCCTTAAGAAGATCGAGCGGTTGCGAGAGGGGAGCGGGGAGTAGAGGCGGCCTGTGTGGATGATCAGCAACGTGGAAAGAGACTGACCGCTACGGGGTGCAGGAGGGGAAAGACGTTGCTACAACTGTGGAAGGACGGGCCGTATGTGATGGGACTGCCGAAAACTAACCGCTTTCTCCATATGTTGAAGCAAGGAATACCTGCAAAGGGATTGTCCAGACGCCATT